GGGGGGAGGGGGGGGGGGGGGGGGGCAGCAGCAAAGGTGAGCATTCTCGGCACATACGGGAACACTCGCGCCACATGTACGTATTGCTTTGGCTGCTGCTGCTGCTGTTGCCCTGTTGCTCATGGGTCGTTGTCCCTCCGAAAGGACGGAACGACGCGATGCCTGCCTGAAGCATTTACAAAAGAGTGGTGTTGACTTCCACAGAGCGCAAGGCACCAAGAATAGTATGAGACCGCAAAGCGTTTACCAGCTTCCAAGGGTATGTGAGCGGCACACGCAGGCGCGAATCGTGCCGCACGCTCCCCTTTGGGCAAACACACACACACGCCAAAAACATTCAACGACAACCAAGATAACACAGCAGTCGCGCCCCACCTGAGCGCCCCCCATCTCCTCCGTCAGGCGCTTGGCGTGGTACATGGGGGTAGGGCCGCCGATGTACTCGCGTCGGTACCAGGCCACCTCCTCGTGGAAGGCGGGGTCGGCCTTCGCGGCCTCGTAGGCCTCCTCCAACTCCCTGCATGATGCATGATGCATGGATGCATGCACAACAGATGAGGCCGTGGCAGAGTGCCGTAAGCGGCAACAGGAGAGACAACACCAAGGTGCGACCGGCTGAGTGCATAGGGTGGAAGGAACACGGACAGCACGGCAGAGCGCCAGGGCCGAGACCAGCGCGAACAGCCAGCAGCACCAGATGCACAGAAGGAAAAAAAAACAGAGGAACAGAAACCGACAGAGGCTTTGACGAGCCATACACAGTCAGCACCGCCCAGTATGGGGAAGCTAAAAGATAAAAGCCAACATGGAACCCAGGCAAGAGTCAACACCTGAAGAGAGAAAACCCTTCGGATTCTGTTCCTCGCCCTCGCAGCATTCCATTCGCCTCGGTCAAACAAAAACAAAAAAGCCCCGAAGATCCGTGCACCCGCGTGCGCTACGAAGCGAAACATTCTATTAGCATCAGCCTGACCAAACCAAACAGCAAAAAAACGAACCACTTGCGTGTACAATATAAAGCGGGCGAATCAAGCCAAAGGGCTTCCTGACCTGTGCGCCTCCACGAGGGTTTCCGGGATGTAACGTCCGCCGAAGTCCCCGAAGTACCCGCCGGACACGTCCTTGCCCTCGTAGGCGAGCCCCTGCTCGCCGGTGTGCTCGAACGACATCTCCGCCGAGGTGATGCCTGCCTTGAGGCCCTCCGTGAACTTCTTCAGGTGCGCCGCGATCTCCGAGGCGGGGGCGTCGGCGTCCACCTGTGCGCGCGTCGGGCGGCAAAACGACGACAGCGACGGTGGCAACCGGGTGGTCGCGGGCAGGGCATCAGAGGAGCAGTCGGGCAGAAACAAAGAAACGGCCCGAACGAACGAAAAAAAAAAGAAGGCACGGCGCGGTTCGATTTGCAAGGATAAATTCTGCGGCACCGCCACAAGGCGTCCACCAGAAACGTGCCTGGCACATGAATGCATAGATCTCGACTCCCCCGTATCTGATCTCCCTCGCCTGCCGTCTGCCCGGTGGAAGCGGACACGCGGCTTACTGTCTGTCCGTCCCGAACTGGATGCATCCAACACGCGTGAAAGCCTTCGACACGGCTCTACCGCAAACGGTGGATGGGATTTGTCATGCACAGCTACAAGTACGGCATATACGCCAAGCGTCTCAGCCCTCGGCATGCGCTCGACAGATTCTGCACTCCCCCGCCACACCAACCCCCCTCCCCCCCCCCTCCCTTTTCTCCGTTGGCGCCAAAAAACAAAACAAAAAAACACAGCAGCAGCACCTACCTCGTCCACCGCGTTCATGAAGGCCGAACCCACAACGACGCCGTCCGCGATGCCGGCGACCTCCTGGACCTGTTCCTTGGAGCTGATGCCGAACCCGACCGACAGGGGCTTGTCCGTCGCCGCGCGCACGCGGCCGACGAAGTCCTTGAGGTCGGCGGGAAGGCCGGACCGGGCTCCCGTCACGCCAGCCACGCTGTATGTGTGTGTGCGTGTGTGTGCGCACGCGCGTGATTTTTCTTAGACCGCGCTAACCGGCTGACCAATGAAAAGACGTCGATACTTGCAGCGGGATAAAAAAAACACCACCACTTTCTATTATTTTTTTTATCAAAGAGAAAGGGTGCGTGTGTGCGTGTGTTCAATAATAGCCAGCCTCTTTGGCCGAGAGTCATAACCAGCAGATCAGACGAAAAATGCGTCAGTCATTGATGACGCGGCAAAAAAAACGCGAACATGCAACTGTGTGGGTGAACGTGGGTGTCATCCATGTGTTCCTATTCATGAGTCTCGACTGCGCTAATCGGCTCACCAACGAAAGCACGCGGGGCAAGAGCAAATCACGGGATGGGGAACGCGTCGTCCAAGCGAGAAGGGGTGAAAAAGAAAAACGAGAAATTAATGAAGTCATCATCAGTCTCTGTACCAAAACCGCACCGTGTATATTTAGAGCCATCCCACCAGACATCCGGCCAAAGGCAGCATCTGTCCTACAGAACGCCGTTCTGTGCTACTCCTCCGATGCACATGGCGCACTCAAAAAAAAAAGATCAGAAACAGAAACAAAAAACGACACCCGCACAAACAAAAAGCAATGTCCATTTCACCCCATCCCATGAGGGCGACAGGGGAGAGAGAGACTGACCTAACGCAGTACACGAACGAGTCCGCGGCGGAGGCGACGTACGGCATGCGGTCGTCCGTGGTGGTGGGAGACACGAGGGGCACGAAGGACAGCTCGCTGGCGCGGCACTTGGTGACGAAGTCGTGGGCCTCGTCGGGGAGAAGGTCGACAACCACGAATCCATCGGCGCCTGGCGTGACAGAAGCAGGAGCGGTTAACTATCGTGGTAAATGTAGCCGTGTGCGAGCGGATTCAGGGAAGAACTAAAAAACAACAAAGAGGCATACGACGTGGTGTAACAACGCAACAGAACGGGCGTGATCATGAGGCAACACGCAGCTGTGCAGCAGCAGTAGTTTCGCGGCGTCATGCTTGTGCCACGATGTAAATAAATAGACAGGCCTTCCTAACCCGAAATGGGCGGAGCTACGGCGTCCGCGCTGATGATAAGCCACTGCTGAGAGCGTCTTCCCCGTTTGAACAGTTCAAGCCCCGACTTACCCACCATACCGTATGCGGTGGTGGTATGTCGAACCCGAATCACGGTCACTTCTTCCTGCCGTTTTCGGACCATAACGTGGAAAGGCACCGATAGCGTTTCTAAGTCAGGCTCGCCCGCATTATCAAGCCAGAAAGAGAGACGTCCTCTCTCCTCTCACCAGCCTCCCGGGCGTCCTTCATGAGCTTGTCCAGGCCGTAGGCGAGGAAAGGGTTGAGGTAGCCCATGAGCACGACGGGGGCGGTAAGGCCCTTCGCGCGGGCGTCCCTGACGTAGTCCAGGCAGTCCCCGAGGGTCACCTTGTTCTTAAGCGCGACCTGCGGCGCACGAGGACGCTCAAACATCTCATCGGTAACCTCGTTGGCGCGGTCGTAGATACAGGTACTATTGATTTTCATGTACATTAGTTCTAGAAACACGTCTTACACACAAACACGCACGAGCGCATGCATCGCAAAACGACACCCCATGATTTGGCGGTAGTTTTCGTCTTTGCTCGGGGTGAGACAATACGAAAAAAACTACTTGGAGAACCCTGGATTTCGCATCCCGTGTCCTGCAAAAAGGCAAACACAACGGCAGTACCGCTGTTGTACCTGGTTGGTGGCCTGGATGGTAGCCCCGTCCGCCTGAGGGTCGGTGAAGGGAACTCCCAGCTCGATCACGTCCGCCCCGCCCTCCTGCAACGACGAGAGGCACAGCAGCGGAGAGGGAGGACAAAAAAAAAGTTATACTTCGAAGTATACAATACTGGTATTCAATGTTAAAGCGAAAATGACGTACGGTGGTGGTGGAACATGCTGTCGTCACCCGAGGAGTTCTATCTTCGGGATCGCAGGCTCGAGATATCGAACCGCCCGCGCACAACACGTGGCCGGCTCATCACCACACCACACGTTTCGTGCTTCTGCTTGGCCTGCAACCTTGACGCATGTGAACACCACTACCGCTGCTGTGTTCCCTCTCCCTCCAACTCCCGTTCATACCTGCAGCGCGAGCAGAAGCTCAACGGTGTCGTCCCTCTTGGGGTAGCCCGCAGTGAGGTAGGGGATGAAGGCGGCCTGCTTGTCCTCCGCAACGTCGCCGAAAACCTTGGCCAGTCGAGGGCTGGCGCTCTTGCTGCCGTGCCGTGCCGTGCCGTACCGTGGCCGTTTGGTTGTGGTTGTTCGCAACCGCGCGTGCAGCAGTAGTACCGAGAAAAATAGAGAAGAAGCAGTGCACGTGATTCAGACGCACGAGAAGAGAAGCACAAACGAAAAACACGCAGAGAGAGAGAGAGAGAGAGAGAGAGAGGGGGAGAGAGAGAGGGCGACGAGTTGAGAAGGAGGACTACAAATGCGCACGGGCAGAGACAGGGTGACTGGGATAAGCTGGTGGCAATTAGTGCTGGCTTAGGAACAGCGTATGGAGTCAAGCTATGCATGCTATAGCCGGCGGCCTCTGGAACTTCCTACTTTGTTTCGAACGAGGAGGTACGTTGGTTGACGCTGGCTTGATCAGAACGGCGGTGCTTCTTCTCGCCCAACAAGGCCAACGAAAACAGAAAGCAGAGGGACACTGCCGTTTACAAGTGCCACCTAATGCCGCTGCTGCTCGCACGGGACGCACACAGAGCAAGAGGGGTCCACAGGATAGCTCCGCGCCACCTTTGCCTCTCGTGTTGGATAGACACCGAGGGCGACACGAACATCCGTCGAGTGACAAAACAACTCCCGTTGCCCACCCGTCCGCGTTTGTGATGCCCGTGACCCAATCGTAAAATCACAGGTCCGGAGGGAAAGAAACCCCGGCAAGAACGTTCTTCAACTCTACAAAGAAGCGAGTGCACAGATCACTGCTGTTGCGTAATACAGGAGCATGTACGTGCGTCGTCGTCATGACAGCCGGTTCAAACACTCTTGCTTGCGACGTAGAGTCGCGCCGCATCCCGGTTGGTTCTGTGTGTCGTGCGTCGTGCGTCGTGCGTCAAGATGACCGGGGTTATTGGAAGATGATCATAGCGTATTGGCGGGAAAGCGAAGGCAGAGAGAGCAGCAAACATACGTCGCCTCTTACGCATAAGCACGCGCGCACACGTACCTCGTGGGCTTCAACACAGGTTCGGTGGCGACCATTCGCAGCGGAGAAGAGGCGGCTGCACCGCCCCCCCTGGCCGTGGACGCGGTGTGAAGGGGAGCCGCGCGCGCGCCGGCGCCGGCGGCGTTGCCGAGGGTGGCTGCCTGACGGGCGGCCGGCGGTGGTTGCATCTTCCTGCCGGCAGCCAAGCCGACTCCTGCGGGCGACGTAGTAGCGAAGAGAGCACAGCAACAATGGAGGGGATCGGCATATGTGCACGCGGCGTTGATTTTTGAGTGGCAGCTGAGCACTCCAAGAAGTCGTGAAACATTTCTCGCTCCTGCGGTAGTACTGGAGACTGCGTTCGGCCGTTGAGCGTGCGTGCTCGGTGTCCGTCATGAGCCCTGGGTGTCTGTCGTCTGGATCTACAGAGTTGTACTGGTGCAATTTTACCATGGGTGGACAAATGGGCTATACATAGAACGGCTGCGCGATTCCTCACCTCGTGCCCCACTTGTGTCTGAAAAACGCGGGGGTGTACAGCAGCGGTGATCCCTGCACAAGGCCGGCCAAATCTCATGAAGCTATATACGTACAGGCAGCCTAATTCCAGGAGCCTATGATATTTGTTTTCGATGTCGTGTCTACCTGGTTGGACTGGATGTCCAGCAGTGACAGCAGCACTACAGTATTATAGTACTTCGAGGTGTTGTAGCAAGCCGTCCTCCAGGTGGTGATAATTTCTTGCGAAAGTGTTTCAAGCTACCCTGTATTTCTCAAGTAGTTCTGCTTATGGTTGTGGTGGTACTGGGGTGTCCCTGGCCTTTTCATGGTCCGAATTTGTGACAGGGCTATGCATAGGTCCGGCGTTGGTCATACGGAAGACGCTGCCGCTGGGCACGGCTGTCCAATCTTAGTCTTCGCATGTGTGCGGGCGGAGTCTCGACGCCACCATCACCGCTTTACCCACGACTCTGCTCCCATGAGGTGAATAACTACATCGCAATTCCCCGCAGTCAGTATGGATAGCAGTAAGATAGCCCACAGGGACCAGTGACCTACCAGAATGTTCTCTAAAAGAGAGTAACGGGGAACGGTTGCTTGGTCGTGGTGGGTCTGCGTCCGCTGCTTCCTGCAGTTGAACCATGTGTACTGCTGTACCACACGGCAACCAGCCGCCCAGGCAACGACTACACTTGATAACGTCCGCAACATCTGCCAACATGTTGACAATGTGGTGCTGTCAACGCGTCGAGAGTTGGCTCCTCCGACAAGATACACGTGATCCGCCACCGGCTCGCTACTTGTACCACGCTCGGGAACAGCACGCCAAGCTGAATCGCGGCAGTATGTACCAGAGAGAGTACCGAAGCACGCGAAGCACGCGCAGCAGGCGCCGTCGTATACATGTGTACAGTGCATAGTGTATAGTGCTTTCGGCCGGCAGTGCTGCTTGGATAGATTTCGCTGGTGTGATACTGCAGGCGACACCGACCTTTTTGCTGAACTCGATCGGACACAGAGCACGCCACACCTGCCCTATGAGTTTCGCACCTGCAAAGGCAGAGGTCATGCCGATGCTCCCGAGTAGACAGGCAGCGGCTGCCGCACATCTCGCGGAGGACATGTTCGTCACGGCCGGCTTCATTGTCGCAGCAGAGCCTTAGATTTCGAAGCCACAACGCACACACCACACCAGGGCAGACACGCTCTCCTCGCAACCAAGGCTCTGCCCGCGTATACACTCCGCGAAAAAGAGAGAGGTGGATGCCGCTCGTTGGGCGCTTCTTGGTTCGCACTCAGGAAGTCGCGTTTGCAACCGTGCCGCCCCCCCCTCCTGCAATTTCTATATTTTTTCTCCTGCATGTATGCCCCGGGTAGGGCTCGTAATCACAGCTGCGTGCGCCCCTCCAAGGCCATGTAGCGAGGCATGGAGGGGACCGGCGACGGGTGACTTGGATCCACGACAGCAGAGGGAGAAAGTGGCGTGTGTGTCTTACTCCCTATTTCCGTCGCTATCACCGGAGGTTGTGGTCCCGATTTTTTTTTTCGACCTAGACGGATCCCAATTTGGCAGGCCGCGAGAGGAGGGGGGTCGGGTCGATTTCGCCGCTCTTTGGAAAGCCGGCTGGAGCGAAGCGCCTGCGTATCAGCACCGCAACCGCGGCAGTCTGCTTGCGCGTGACACGAAGGTATAGTCGGTGTCGTTTTCGGGACGCCTGCGATAGTAGCCCCTTCGCCATGAAAACAGTTTTCGGGTGGACTTTCTTCCCAAATCTTGGACTCATGCCGCTTTTATCTTACTCTAAGAGAGGGAGCCGCCCCACCCCGCTTCATTCGTTTCCTTTTTTGAAATCAAGAAATGCTTGCCCTCCGCCCAGGTGGGTGCATTCATGATCACAGGTTTCAACAAATGCAAGTAGTAATCAACAGGCCAGCGGCATTTGTGTTTTGCTGCGCACCCCGTCCTCCCCGAATTTAGTCAATTGCAATTCTATCTGCTGGTCAAGTTGTTTTCTCTCATTCTATCGGTGCATGCAATGGACATTTGCAATTTGTGTGCGCGTGCATCCGTAGAATTAAATCCAATGTCATGAAGCAAACGGTGGGATCCTGTCGTCTGTTCTTGCTCTCCCAGATGATATGCTTACCCATATCCAGATGATATTCGTATCATAAGTCTATCCCATGTGTGTTCCCGGCGTGCACCCTGTCATAGAAAAACGTATGCGTGCTCGTAGGCACGTGTGGTATATATCGATCTGCGACCGGCATAGGATACAAACAGTGGTACACCTTCCAGGTGCTTATATTTTCTTGTTTTCTTGTTGGGGTTTAAACTTGGTCGGTTCAACACCACGATACTGTTTCAGGTTCATTTTTTTGGGTGCAAATCTGCTGTGTTTTGAAAGTGTCCGCTCTTGACAACCTCTTACTTTTCACATGTGTTTCTTTCTAGTCTGCTTCGTATTTATCATGGGCGGAACGACAGAGTTGGTCTTGCGCCGGACGCGGACTTGGCATGCGCCCGCACGCGACCTTAGCAGTGAACGTGTGTGTTCTTGGCGTTTTTTTGTTGTACAAATGCAAGCTCCATACGGATACGACGAGGGCGTTCCACCAAGCTGTTGAAGAAAGAATTTTTGGCGTACATTATGCCTTTCCGTTTCCCGGAAAAAGCGCATGGTGCCGGCAGGTGTTATTTGTTATTTTTTATAGTACCCTCGCACCTCTCCTGACGAAGTTTTCCCCACGCCGTTTGAACGTCGTCGACTGGAAATGGTATGTAGGCTTAACACCATGCTGGCGATGTGCCACCTGTTGGTCCCCCAAACCATCCGAGCCTCATTGCACTGCTCCCCAATCGCCGCACACCACGGACCTGATTCTGTCTTACCCTCCTAAACACCAACTCACGGCTATGAGATGAGTACACCCCCCCCCACCCCCCTCTTGCGAAACAATATCTCATGGCGAGGGCGTTGTAGTTCCACCCAGGTAACACCCGCATGCTCCTCTCCGTTTCCTATTTAGATAGAATAGGACACGCAACGGGACCGGTCTGAATAAACATACCCTGCGGCCAAGAAGATAATAGTGTTAATAGTACCACCCACCCTCATGCCACCAAAAACTGGTGTTGATAATTTGCACCCCCCTCCCCCCCCCCTCCCGCCAACAATTAGTGTTAAAAAATACTTCGAAGTTATCACCAGCCACCCCCTATCTACCCGCCTCTGCTTTGGAAATAGAAAATATGTACCACCCCTTTTCTTTTTTTTTCTGCACAGCGCACAGCAGAGGAGCCTTCAGCGGTAGTTAAGGTGGCTCGAGATAGGAGATCGGGGCGGGCGGGCGGGTCTGCTCCGGGCGGCGGAGGCGATGGCGGCGGCGGCGGGGCCGGGGGGCACGGCGGGGAGAATGGGGGCTCCGCGGCGGGCGGCGGGTCAATCCCGGCTGGCCCCCGCAAGAGCATCCGGCCGCGGCCTGTTGATATGCACAAACCGCTGGCGGTGTCACGGGTAGACGAGGTAACGCCTGTTGTAATGAGAGTTTTTCTTATTTGTAGTGTCGAGGGACAGAGTTGTTTTTCGATCAAGTATCTGGGTGTGCTTCTTAAGCCCGTGAAAAGTGGTTGTTGTCGTTGTTTGGGGTATTGGCAAACGCTATCGAGGGTACGCATCTGCGCGTGTTATGCGGGACTGCTGTGGCACTGCTGTGGTCAGTTGAACCCCTTGTACCGGCTGTGTTTGTTCTCCTTCGTCGGTGTTGGCGGTGGCGGTGCTGGTTGATGCTGACGTAGCTGATTTGTCGCTTTCCGGTGGTAGCGGCATGTTCTCATGGGGTAGGGTCTTGGCGTGGTACAACTGTCTCGTGTGTGCTGTGCTCAAATCTTGATGCTGATTGACATCCACGTACATTACTTCCCTTGTACATCCCAAACCGATACTGTCTGACGCCGAGCAAGTATGTGGTCGCTCACATCCTTCTTGGCATTTTTTTTTTTTGTATTTCTCGTCAGGCGGAGGAGGCGAACGGGGGGGTCCTGGGGGAATCGGAGGCACGGGCGGAAGGAGGACGAGCCACGGTTGTGCCCCCTCTCCGCAAGAGAGACATCCCCACACCGATCATCGCCACGGTGCCTGGTGAGGAGTTGCGCGACGAATCCATAGACTGTTTTCGAGGGGATGTGTTGGTGGGTGTTCGCAGTAGCGTGTGTGCGTCCTTGCTACTGTCAGCATCGACCGCGCTAGCCGACTGGCCATTGAAATGACTTCAGTGTCGGTGCGGTTGACAACAGAAATGCTAATGCTTCTAAAGACCATGGTCTGGGACCCCGTGAGGGGGGCGTCATGGTGGGTGTGTTGTCTGTTTTTTTTCGTGTCTAGTTAGCGAGTGTTGACAGTACTGTGGTGACATTGTTTCGACATGACGCCACGCAGCGGACTGCAGTGCACTATTCTTGCTTGTCGCGTGGGCAGTGCGGCATGCACTGCGATCATCGCCATCTTAGCCCTCTGCAGAAAGATAGCGGCCTAAGCATTGCCGCTGTCAAAACCAGCGTCACTTGCTGTCAATACCAGCGTCACTTCTACGGAGACCGGCCTTATTAGGGGTAGGCGGGGGACCATAACCGGCCACATATAGGGGATACCTGATATATGGCCACCACCGGCCTCACTGGGCCTCACCGGCCTTATATCGGGCAGGTGGTCTTTTTTATGCGGCATTACGTCGGCTCCCCTACTGCTGTAACAGTTTCTGTTGACAAGAGCCGAAGTTCAGTCGTGCCAGCTGGGTAGCGAAAGCCCTTCCGGTCTCTCCGGCAGAATAGGGCGTGGTACTCACGCGCACCACCGAAGACTCGCCCTCCCCCCCTGACTGGCAGCAGTGGTTGATCTCTCCTCTTCTCTCCCTGTTTTTTCTCCGCCTTTTCCGATGAAAACACGACACAATATTAGAATCGAATAGAATGAGGCGTTTGACCCAGAACAAATAGATCGAACCGACGGGAGGACCCCAAAGGCTTTCACCGAGCAACCTAGCGTGGCTAGATGGCTACCCCCCGGAGGGAGCTTTTGCGCGGGGCGGTTTTCGCGGTTGGGGCAAAGCGCAACCCGACCCCACCCAGCCCTCTTATTTTTGCCGGCCTCCGTGTTGCTGCTGCTGCTGTGTCCCGAAAACCCCGAGCAGGGTACGAGGCAGAGCAGACGAGCGATTTTCAGGTCCCCGACGGTTACATCCGGTTCCCCCGGAGGGCTGGGGGCGAAGACGACGTGGCGACGTGCGAGTACTCGCTGGAGGTGAGAGTCGTAGATCCGACCCCGGCTCGTAGTAATAACCTATGGGAGGTTTCTCCCTGCATGGCGACGGGAAGGGGGTGGGAGCAAGATGATGCATATACCACAGGTGACGGGTAAGGTGTAAGGTATCGCACCCCCCCTGGGATGTTTTTTTTTTTTTTTTAGTATGACACAACGAATCCATCTCTGATTTTCAAAGCTCAATGACTCCACAGCAGAAGCAGCTTCGGTACCGAGTACCGAAAATGGCGGCGTTGGGACCGTCTCGTAGAGAGGTTCCCCCGATATTTGATTTACACAACGCTGTTCGTCATGGAATGCAATTTTGAGTATCGACCCTGGGGGTGTGAGATCGAACGTCACCTACGGTACCTACCGCAGTCGACGATGTTCCATCTCCAAAGCGTTGGTTATGCTGGGACATGCATAGGGTGCGTGGTTTGTTTTTTTCCGGGGGTGACGGAGATTGACGGTGACATCCCGATTCAGCAATTCATTTTTTTTTGTAGAAAAGTTGTTGATAATTCTATCACCATCTCCCCCCCCATATCGCTCCGCCCCTGCATTCTAGGATTCGACTTCAATGGTCTAACGACTAGGGTATGCGTTTACATGAGTACCCCTCCCCCCCACACTCGGTGTTTGCCATCGGGATTGGGTTTTCGTCGCTTGGCAACGACGTTGTAAAACAAGCCAATTCACTTCGTGAACTCGGCAACCAGGTTACCGTTTTTTTTTTACCTCGTTTTTTTTTTTTGGCGGTAACCATAATGGTGGTCGAGTAGATCATGTTGTGCGGGGTCGAGAAACCTCACTCCGCGCAACGGGGGATGATCGCACCACGTTGTGTTAAAATGGTCAAGCTTCCTCGAGGCAGTTACACAGTGCTTCCAACTGTCTCTGGAAGTGAAAGCACCAGAAAATAAATTAAGTCATACGTAGCTGTCATCCGTACGCAAGGAAGTAAGCACAAGATTCCGAACACCCTTGGCAGGATGCAGCTCACCCTTCATGCGACTCGCCAAATACCTCACGGCGCTTCGCGCTTGGTGATGTGAGAGCCTGGTCCGGTGAGAACCCGGCGTGCTCCGTCCCGGCTTTGTAGGGATGCGAGGTCAATGGTCAAACGACTACGGCATGCACGACTATGAGTACCCCCCCCCCCCCCCCCCCTTCATTTTCGCAGATGGAGGACGAGGAATGGCTGGAGAAGCACCCTCGGTACGGTCTGTCGGGGCCCCCCTCCGAGAAGGGCAAGCTGGACGTGGACAAGCTGGAACAGATGCTGGGCATCCTAGAGATGGGGACGGGGCAGGCCGACCCCATCCCGCTGCCGCAGGCCGAGACGCTCTTCGTGTCGAAGCTGGGCATGAGCAAGGGGATGATGATACATGAGAGCCGTACTGCTGTGCTGTAGCCTTTCGCGAGGATGTTTTAATATTGGTTGTAGTAGGACAGGGTTTTGGGAAAGGGATGCACGAAACCCCGCTCTCTATTTCCGGGACGAACCCCCGCTCTCTATTCCATGGACGAATCGCCCCTCTCTATTTAGATTACTGTAGTAATAAAATCCTGGCGAAGGGTGGTCCCATAAGAGTCAGGGTCCCAAGTTGACCTTCGTTGTATGGCTGTCATCTCGTCGTCGGGGGCGCCCGGTTCACGCTGCGTTCCCTTTTGTCTCTCCCCATCGTTAGGAGTCTTGTCGTCTCGCTTTCCAGCAAATTCCTCTTTTGTGTCTCTATTTTTTTCTCCTCTCTCTCTCCCTTTGGTGGTCAATAGTCCTGCAGCTAAGGCATGCAACACATAAGAGTACGTCTCACCTCCTTCCCTCTCCCACGGTTTCTCGGCACCTGCTAATTTTCTTTTTGGTTGCCTAACGTTACGCATGGTCTAGAAGCGACCCGAGGACAGATACGTCGTCGCTCTGTGTAATTCGACTAAGAGCATGTGACAACAGTTTTTCACCCTGCTGTGGAGGCCACCCCACAAGGCAAACCATGCAACGGGGCTTACGTATCGGCAGACGAAAACTCGCCATGTCTTACGGCGGGCGACGACGTACACTCTTGATAGAAGCATACGTCGACCACACTCATGAGTGACGAGAATCGAGACGTGTCTTTCCGACCGCGGTCGATCAGTCGATCATGCCACCTCGCATGATGCTGTGGACACTACTCTATGTCAGGCACAGCAGCAGTAAGTGGCGCTGATTCCACGCCTTCTGTCTGCCCTCATGAATATCATCCGGAAAATATCACAGGCCGTGCACCACGACGCTTGGACGGAGGTGTACCGCTTCTGGAAGGATAAGAGGTCTCGGATGGGCAAGCCGCTGCTGAGGAGGTTCTGGCCCGTGACTCCCTCCAACGACACCGACCCTCACAAGGTGAACAGACAGACAGACTCTAGCTGTCACGTTTCGTCAACGCCCCACACCGCGCTTGCTCGCCGTCGTGGATCTTGTTTGTTTGGCACACCTACGTGTGCTTCTCTTGTGCCTTTTTTTTTTTCGGTCACGTTGCACCTGCGTGCTTTTTTTCTTCCCCGTGGCTGCGTGCGGCTTCGTCGTCGCGGTGTCGTCTTGCGTGTGTTTGCTTGGGCTGTTGTTGCTGCTCTTCCACGTCTTTTGATCTCCCTGGGCTACCTCGTTTTTTATTTTCTTGTGCCACCTCCCGAGTGCTAGCGTTAGTGATGTGCCGTCCTTCCTGAACGCTACTGCTCGGGTAAATAACGACGGACCCCCGGCGGATGATGTATGCAGGTGTTCCGACCCCGAGAGAAGGAGCGGTACAAGCTCAGAAAGCACCGGAAGAACGATCTCGACAGCTTCCGAAAGCTGCAGCAGGTCAAGAAGGACTTCGAGAAGGTGCGCGTGTTTTCGATCTCTGTGGATGGATATACGCCCCCCCCACCCCGTCACCACGAGTGTTGTTGTTGATGTATCGTTGTTGTTGTTGTTGTTGTTGTTGTTGTTGCTGTTATTGCTGCTGCTGCCTCTGCTGTTGGCGTTGGTATCGTTGCTGTTGCTGCTGCTGTCTTGATCTTGTAGCCGTTCTACCCCCCCCCCCCCCCCGATCTGACTAACA